AAAAACAGTGTTCTATTTCAAATTGCACTTGTCGAATATGATCATGCCTGTACAAACGGTATGTTAATCATGTAAATGCTTAATTTATGTGAAATATATATTGTTATATTATACATTTATAAGCATTTATATATACATAAAATATTAACGTTCTTTCCATATTTACATACTTCCTCTCCCTACTATACTGCTGCTGAGCGTAATCTTCTATATACCTCCTGGTCGAGGTCGAACAACCAAACATCTAAACTGAAATGACCATTTAGGTAAATTCAAACTCAAATTCCATGAACGATCCGATGCTACCATTTGAAAACGCTGGCCAACATTCTGTACAAGGAGTATTCTTGATCTGAAATAGAGAAGCAACTGGTTTTCAAACAGTTTTCAATGTATTACTCAACTTACATGTACAGTCTGTCATGCTGACACGAATGGCGCCAATGGATAGTTCTAGAATCGACCTCGGCCCCATTCCATGCAGTAAAACAATCCGACATGACCCTGTCTAGTTTTCGCATCCACGATCAAATTTCTTTCCTATTATAAAACTATGATTAGACTGCTGATAAAAATGGAATAAATACGTCACTGACCTCAAAATAATACATCAATAAACTTTAACTCAAGGATGCTGTTCACAACAAAGTCATATAGGAGAATTGACTTCAAGCTTTGTTTTTCCCAGATATTTGTATTACATTCATCTGATGTCTGGGCTTTTGTTCATGCGAAGACAATATTTCTATATCCCTTTATGTGTTGCACAGACAGACTATTTTGCAGACTGTTCCGACTGACTGTAATGTCAGAAAGAACAAACAGACTGTAAATTCAACATACATCGAAATATGTGTAATTTATATAATAACTTATCCATGCCTGTACAATTGGTATGTTTCTGCATAAACAGGAATAAATATATATATAACGGTGGTACGAGACAAAGAGAGAAACAGGAAGACACATCTGACGCTGAGAAAGCAGACCTCGAACCATAAGGAGGCAGCAGACTGAGGTCTTACTACGTCCCCAAACCTCAGTGACAGTAGAGCGATGTGGTGCTTAGGATGACTGTCAGTGTCAGCTGCGTGTCCTATCCGAATCCAGGGACAAAACTGACAACGGGTGGGTTCCATCAGAATCGACCAACTAGTCCTAATATTAAGCCCCCTACCAGCAAACAACGTGCCGTGAACTACCCCACAGCAGACTGAGGCGGTGAGACGCACTTTCAGCTGCCTATATAGCAATGTGAGAGGACTGAGAGGGAAAGTAGGTGAACTCGGAAACCTCCAGTCACACCCAGACCTTCAAATCATAATCCACACTGAAACCTGGCTAACTACCAATATCACCGACAATGAAATCAGTATCAGTGATACATTTCTGGTCAGGAGAGACAACGAAGCGGGGAGTTGCCATATACTTTAACAAGCAGATTAAATGTGTAAGTGCAATGGACCAACCACTTATTGAACTCCCAGACTCCATATGGTGTTATTTCACCGTAGGCCAAACCAAGCATCTACTGAGTGGCATCTGCCGATCACCCACCTGTGGGGCAGAGCACAACCAGCCACTGCTCAATACCATCACAGGGATACAGGATTTGGGCCATGGCCAAATCACCATAGCTGGTGATCTCAATGACCCATCATTGAACCATGGCCTGGGTTATGCTCAGAGAAAATTAGTTCGAAATCTACTGCAAACCATTCGAAATGCAGGACTGACTGAGAATGCTGGAGACGACACTAAGTGGGGCGATAGTGGAAAGTTATCGAAAGTGGATTATATTATGAGTAGTTACCAGCTACTTGTCGTAAAGGTTCAGATCATGACTCCAATAGGAAGTAGTGACCATGCAGTCTTAGGTTTCGACCTTGTTCTGTGTGAGCACTTGCAGTGGAACGTTGCGCTACCATGTTTATGCTATAACAGGGCGAACTATGCTGAAATGTAGAGGCTTTTGTCTATGCAGAATGGCCCTTAGCATGGAATAAGTCATCTGTGGATGAACACTGAGAAATGGTGAAAGAGATTATTCACACAGCAATCTCGGATACCGTCCCTTTAGTCACAACACAGCCCGAAAAAGGTCATCATGGCCCAAGAGAGGTACGCAACACATTCAACAAGCAAAGTGGAAGACATAGTTTACATGGCGCTTATCCAAGAGTCAGACCGACTACGATTATTATTATTATTGTATCCTTTAATTCCTACAGGAACATAGGGCTTCAGCCGTGCGTCTCCATTGCATTCGGTTCTCTGCTAGAGTCTTCATCTGGCTCCAAGTCTGCCCATACGATTTCATCTCCTCTTCACATGACCTCCTCCAAGTCACCCTTGGAAGACCAACTCGCCGCTTCCCTTTCGGCGGCGATACATACCTGGAACTCAGGAACCGGTGCAACGTGAGAGTCAGGAGTCACAGAAGTAATTTCGGGCTAATTTTGCCAAAAAACTCCTAGTGAACCCCAAAGACTTATATCGATTCATGTCGGAAAGGAAACCAACCAACCAGAGGTCATGCGCCTTGGTAGGCCCAAGCGGTCAATATCTCACTAGTCTGGAGTTGGCGGAAACATTCAGTTTAGCCTTCGCCAAACATCTAAACAGCAATGTGGGTATTACCGGTATGGACCAAAATGGCGACACTACTATTTCGCAGGAGGAATACCTGGTGGCTACCTCCCAAATAAACCCGGCAGTAGTACTAAGGAAGCTACAGCGACTCACACCTGAAAAGTCTCCAGGTTGTGACGAAATCAAGCCATCTAGTCTGAAGCTCTCTGTAGGACCTTATGTGACTCGTTCCAACACTCCATGGAATCGGGAAACTGCCAAGGGAATGGAAAAGTAGAATCCTTTCTCCGATCTTCAAGAGTGGGAGTAGGCAAAATCCCACTAGTTATAGACCAGTAGCTCTACTCGAGTGGTATCAAAAGTACTGGAAAGTATTATTGACGATCACATCAGGGAATATCTCGATAGGTCTAATGTACTCCATGAAACCCAACACGGTTTCATGTGTAACAAACCCAACATCAGCTCGGGACGATTGTACATCATGCTGGGATATGAATGTTCCAGTCCATGTGGTCTTCCTAAACTTTGATAAGGCATTCGACACGGTTCTCCATGACCTTCTCCTAAACAAAATACGTCAGGCAGGTATAGGTGAGCTGCTTTTGTCATGGCTGAAGGACTGCCTAGCTGAAAGGAAATTTTGCACTAGGGTCAGTCGAGTCCGATCACCTTGACAAGGCTCGTCATCAGGAGTGTTGCAGGGTTCTATCTTAGGACCACTGATGTTTTTGACTTTTATCAATGACCTAACATTCCATCTAACTGCTTGACTCCTCTATACGCTGACGACGTAAGGATATGGAGGCCAATAAAGTGTTCAGAAGGTTCGCGTAGGCTGCAGGCAGATCCAAAGCTTCTGGAACACTGGGCGGTGGCCAGTTGCATGACTTTCAATGTAAATTTATGTTTATATGAAAAATATAAAATTATTATTAAAAAGTGCAAAGTAGTGGAATTGCGCACCTGTAGGCTGCAGAATGCAGGTCATACCTTGTGAAACAGAAGCTTGTCCTGAGCAACGTCGGACCGTGACTTAGGTCTAGTTTTAATGGAAAAATGGACACAAGCGTGAATTACACGGGGGACTTAGCGAGGGCATATGCAGTCATACACTTTACACATAGACATTTAGGTGCATTCATTCCTGAGCTCTTTCTAAGGTTGTATAAAACATACGTCAGACCGCACCTTGAAGTGCATAATATCATTGTACCTCACTGCTTAGAAGAGATGCAAGCCTCTTGGGAAGAGTCCAAAGATAGGTGACAAAAATAGTGGTGGGTCTGTGAAATAATGGCTGAAAAAATTAGTCCTATTCACACTTAGCTACCATTGGCTTAGGGGGAATTTGATTACTGCTTACAAGATAACAAATGACCAGAGTCATCCAAACAAAGGTGTTCTACCATTGAGTAGGTATGGGCTTCCTTCCTCGTGGAAATCCCAGAAGGATAGCTCACCAGAGGGCAAGGACTTGGGTGCACTCCCACTTCTTCTCACTATGGGTTTGCCGTCCCTGGAACTCTTTATTGGCATATGTGGCTACGTCAGTGTCTGTGGACACCTATAAGCAAAGGCTGAACAATCATGCAGTGACGCAAGGACCGCGTCCAAATGGCCTATCCACTTAAAACCCCATGCATTTTTCATGGGTAGACGACTAAATTCGTGGTTTTACTTCTTTGAATTCTCTCCTGTCTTACTTTTCTGAAAACTCCAACTACTACACTTACACTTATTACCTTTACTACTAATATCAAATACATATATATACATATTTATATATGTATAAACATATATCAACTTCAAGTTTAATAAGCTGTCTGTTTTTACGTTTTCTTTATTTCTTTTTCTGTCTTCTGGCCTGAATAACCTACATTAATTACATATGTTATTATTGTCTCTTTTCTTTTGTAGACGACACAGGAGGACTATCTGGTGAAAGGATCAACTCCATTCACAGTAGTAACGGTCTTAACACACTACAAAAAACATGCAATTATTCCCAGCACTACTCCTTTTGGAGTCAACCAAAGCTACGACAGTCAAGTGGCGGGACGAACTGTGCAGAAGTTTACCAAAGATCAGGAACCTATACCTAAAAGTCACGAAGAGAGCGCAAATAAATGAGATTGGTTTATACTAGCTCGTGAAAACGATATTGAATATTGGACGTCCCACTTACAGTATTATGAGTATTAAAGTTGCGTACCGAGTCAGCACCGTTGTAACAAGTGAATACATTGGTGTTACAATCAGCCCACAGCAGGTACGCTTTCAGATGGACGTGTCATCTGATATAACGACTACTTTGAAGGCTCTATGGCAGGACTGGGGGTGCCCTACCATGCAGAAGCAAGACAAAATGGCAGTTATCTAAATGGGCACTTGCGTTTATTCAAGAATTACGCATTATAAACATGAAATTTTTTCTTAGAAGTGGTTACCAATCCATTACTGAGTAGATCTAAATAAGCATTATTGGGGTTAGCCTTAAAGAAAAGTATCATATACCGAAACAGCATTTGGTAACAAGACAAGCTCGGAAAAAAATTCAGATTATACGCTTACTTAAGAAAGAAAATCAGCCTGTGACACTGACTGGTTTACTCATGGTCAAAATGCTACTTTGAAATATTGCAGTGCATAGCATACGGTACTGCTCTCTTAGAGTCGCCGTTTCTTTGTTAGTCTAAAGAACAGTCATTAGAGACCTTTTAACAGCAGAGCTTAACAGCTCAGACAGTCTTATCTCCCAGGTAACATTTGCTAGAGTCCGTAGGTACGAAAGTCCTACATTAAAAACAAACTTCACAGAAATCGCGTCTCTAAAGGAGAGGACTGCCCTGAATTTGTGGTATACGACGAAACACAATTAGCCTTAGATACAATCAACCGGTAGATTCTAACTTGCTTGGTGAGCGAAGCACACGCTCATGAAGGTAAGCAGCATCCAACACTGTAGTCAGCAAGTTTGCCGCAAAAGATTGTCGTTTCAATTTACAAACAACTACAGATACATTTCAGCTGATCAATATCAGCTACACTTCTGCAAATATTTATTACAAAGTAAGCCCTTTAAAATGCGCAGCTTCCAGTGTGGACTAAGCAGCCCGTTTTCGTGGGATAAATAATCTGAATTTTTGAAAAATTACCTTAACCGTACGACTTTCGCAATAGATAAACATTCTCCCACTCAAATTTTAATGAACATTTCACAATTAGTGACCATGTCGATAACTTCCGTATTATTCCGATACTTCCACTGGTAACATTTGTTATTCAATCGCGTTTCAAGTGGAGCATAGAGAGTCGAGCTTAAAATGCGGAGTTGCAGTAGCGCTTGTGCTTTCTGTTACAGAATTGGGTTACTAGCCTCACGACTTAACCCTATCTTTTCCAAACTTGCTGCCAGTATAGCGAAGATTCAGAGTGTGTCGGTCGGGAAAAGAATCCTTACCACATGTGTAGTTAGTATTACAGTCTGTGTATAAAACGACTGTATGTCGTCACTTACTGAATACAACGAAAGTTTTGGGTTGTCAGGTGGCCAAACTTATGGTGGCTCTCAATAACACAACGAAGAAGGTAGACCACTTTCAATCTCGACAACTGGTAACTCAAACTACAGCGATGGTGATAAATCAAACTTGGTGCCCTTCTGAGCTGAAATATGACATTTTTCAGTGGAAATGGCATAAGTTCTTCAGGAAGATGACTCACTAGTTGTGGTGGGGGATGCCCAATTTGCAAAGATCAATTTACAGAGCCATATATAAAGAAATCCTTAACGTACATATGTGAGACAGGTTACGGGTATCACGAGTAATAAAATACACTTTTGTAGGATCGTATCTACCGCGTATCACTGAAGATTCTGGAGATAATATTTTAAATAGCATTGATGGTTTCTCTTATATACAGATGTTACTGTCACTGTTGACTTACGTCTTCGACATTATAAAGACTTGTTTAAGGTTCATTTTACATCACAGGATGATTATTGCGAGAGCCGGGCTGGTCGTTATACGAATTAGGTTCAACTGAATATGATACATTCTGTGAGTTGATTCTTTATCAAAATCCATGCAGTCAGGGTTTTGGTGGTCCAGTTAAGTCAATGATTTAACAGTTTAGAGATCATTCTTTACAATTCAACATACGATATCGGCACCAGAAGGTGACAATGAGTGAACTGAACAACGATTCTTTGACGTATGTGGGTACTACCAGTAAAGAAAAAGGGGTACTTCAAATGAAGCCCCAGATGGATGGTTAATTTAGAGTCCTTCTTCTTGTGTGCTGTGGTTATCTAATTTCGCAGAAATCAATGCTTCGAACAACATCCTAAGTATGCATCACATGATAACTCTGATACGCACCAGTGGTTAGTTTAGGTGCCTCAGAGTATACGTCCAAACCATTCAGCACTTCTGTGGCTTACATCAAAACAAAAACAGTCCCCCCACTTACTACTGTTCTAGCGCAAACGGTCCTATTGTATCTCTTGGTTCTACTCCTACAGAACCAGGTGTTTCAAATGAGGTTCAACTCTTACCGTCCTGGTATTCTGTAGCATGAAATTTCATAAAAAGCTGTACGCACAGTTGTCGTCAATTATAAAGACGGACTTTACGAAGCACGTTAAAACTGTCCTCAAATCCCAGAAAAATATGTCGCTACATATAGTTTCAAAGCAGTAGAATGCTTTATGAGTTTACTGGCAATATGTCCATTTAAAACACAAGGTAAGTGGAAATATGCTGGTAATCAGCAATAGTCTTGAGAGTGAAACTACTCCTCGAACTACTGTTAACGCTTGTCATAAGTATCTTAAACCATATGGTCAACTTCAGTGCTAATTGTTCCTCGGTAATTTCGGTCCACCCAAGTCAAAGATTTGAGTCTGGCGGCAGCTATCTGAAGGTCAATTGCTTCTCAAAGTATTGTATTCAAAATTAAAGAATTTATAAATATCAATAAAACAACACAGTAAATCAGAAAATACAAGCGAATTTTCACTCTGAATTCAATCAAATCAACAATAAAAACTACTGGTATAGATTCGTTGAAAATTGAATTCATTTTCAATGTTTCAATAAAATTAAATCAAAGGTGAAAAGAACTATAAAAATAAGAAGAGAAAGATCAATATTGAAATTTGATTGAAAAGGATACTGTTGAATCCTATAATGATGGATGCAAATAGTAAATAGAACAGAGAAATGACGAAACACCGAGGCGGTTAATATGTGTTATATATCTTGTTTATAATGAATGACTACATTTGAATTGTGACGAGTATGAAAATGAAGATTAAAAAAGGTGGTGTCAAAATAAGGTACAGGATACAAAATTCAGGACACACTGGGGTATCAAAAAAGCGGAAAGCAAATCACTTCATACTCAAAATAGGCAATAATTCATTAGAAAAAATAAAGTAGGATAGTATAGGCATAGAAGTGAAAAAAACAACTTTAAAATTTATACATGAAGTAAAAAATATAAAAATAAAGCGAATACTGTAGCTAAATATATATATGTATACATTACTTCAAATATTCCTTAAGGGGCATTCAATGTTCAATGCTTAATTGAAAACAGTTAACTCCTCAATTGTTGAAAGTATGTATGTATATTGATTGAATTGAACCGGATTGTGTTTCTAATCAAATCTTAGAAATGATTTATCACTGGTAAATAAAAAAGAAACAAGAGACAAACAAAGTAAATATACACAGATAAATAAATTACAGCTATTGGATGGTTGGACATGAGTTATTCCATTATGGGTAAATTTTATTTTGATAGAGTCTCACAGTGGTGTTATACAGTAATATTCACTGATGACGTTTCGAGCACAATTTATTGCTGCTCATAATCATATCAAGGTAATCACACGACTTCCTAAATTCATTTATCTAGTTCCATTGTTTTTCACTTGATTTGATTGGTAGTATTATTTTCCATATTTCGGATATGAGTGATGAATCATTCCTATTGCATGTATATGTGGATGACACTTTCACAGTGTTAAAAACAGAACATATCTCTAGCATCTTGACACACATAAACTCACTAGTGGAGGGAATAAAATTCATATTTGTAGCCGAAAATGAGCAAAGAGAATTAGCTATGTTAGATTGTAAAATAAAACGAATAGAAGAAGGCAAACTACACACTGGTGTTTATAGAAAACCAACGCATTCTAATAGATATTTAGACTTCAATTCATCTCATCCGTTGCCTGTCAAGGCAACCTTAGTTAAGTGTCTAACAAACCGAGCCCTAGTACTAAGTAGTACAAGAAAAGACCTAAACGATGAAATGAAACACACAGAGGTAGAAGCGTTGGTGTCAAATAACTAACTATCCTTTAAAATTCATTAGGAAGATTGAAAAAGGCCGAAAGAAAAATAAAAAGAATTGTGAAACTAGTAATAATAACATAAATAAGAGAGAATATAAGTCATCTACAGTTATACCATATAAAGAGGGGACATCGGAGACCCTACGTGGTAGGATTCTCAATAAAGCAGGAATTAGAATGGCATCCAAACCTACAAACTCACTCAGGGACAAGCTCTGTAGGTTAAAGGACGCAGTCAGTTGACCCAATTAGACAAAATAATATAATTTACAGAATAGCCTGCAATGACTGTGAGGTCAACTACATAGGTCAAACTAGTAGGTCAGGGGTAGTCAGATTATCAGAACATAAGAATTTAGCTAAGGTAAGAATGGTTGACCCAGAGAAGATAAGTAATTCAGAAAAAAGCTCAGCAATTGCAATGCATGCATTAACACACAACCACACAATAGCGTGGGTGGGAGAGGGTTAAAATTCTAAAAAGTAATCTAGGTAGGTGGAGAGAGAGAGAGAGGTTGATTACTGAATCCTTGTTCATCGAATCTACACCCGACAGATGCAATAGGAATGAATCATCACTCATACCCGAAATATGGAAAATAATACTACCAATCAAATCAAGTGAAAATCAAGTGAAAAACAATGGAACTATATAAATGAATTTAGGAAGTCGTGTGATTACCTTGATATGATTATGAGCAGCAATAAATTGTGCTCGAAACGTCATCAGTAAATATTACTGTATAACACCACTGTGAGACTCTATCAAAATAAAATTCACCCATAATGGAATTACACTCTACCACAGTGCCCAAGTTTTATTCTTATATCAAGGACATGAGTTATCATGTCTCTTCAGGATTACAGATACGCCTTGCTGACTGGTGAGTGCCGACTAGCACGAAACCTAGGTCGAGGAAGGCTTCTTGTGGCCGATTGCCTCCAACCATCTAATGTCATTATGTCAATGTACATCGTGATGGCAAGCTACCTGGAATAGTGGCCACATGGCAAACCTAATTTGTAAGCAGAATTCATTAGATGAATAGAAAAATGGTAAAATTCTAAACATATTCACAACCTACTTAAATGTTATGAAAACCGAACATGTTGAAGTGCTAT